AAATAGAAGTAATTTCCTTACCACAGAAAATACCAACAATAAATTTCTTAAGCTTGTTAACTCCTGTATTCAGATTAGCAAACCAGAAATAATAAAAGATGAAAAGAAAACACACAAAGAACTATCCGAGTCCACAGAACCCACTGTGTGTCCTTAAGAAATTTAATCCCCTCAAGTACCCGAGGTTGCAGATTAATTCCTCCCAAGATAAAACGGATTAACCATTAAAGAAGTAGCGGTACCTCAAACTTCGATAATTTCAACGAACTCAAAATGACAGCAACGAATCACACACACAGACACGATCGATCGATTTTGTTTTGTAAGAAATGTATGCAAAAGAAGGGAAGAATTCGATGCAGAAAAATGAGAGAAAACCTCTCTATTTATAGCCAACAAAGGGTAAAGGTCACAACCCTTTGGAAAGAAGACAACCTTTCAGAAAGGTCACAACACTTGGGAAAAGGCATAGCCTTTCAAACGGTCACAATCCTTTAGAAAGGACACAACCTTTCATAAAGCTCACAACCCTTCGACATAGTCACAACTCTTCAGGAGAGTCACAACCCTTCATTTCCTGTTCACACCTTTAAAACCCAACACAACATCCATTACTGCCTCTGGGAGTGAATATTCTTAGCGTAGCCTTGTTATAACAATTTACCTGGAACAAAGGGAGGTACTGATATTCTTCGTCTTATGAGGAATTAGAGGACTAATATTCTCAGAGTAGCATTGTTATATGCCCTTTTTCACTATATGTTTGCTAGGACGAGAAGGTACAAATGGAACTATTTCCTTCTTTCTCATGAGAAGTGAATTAGCTGAGACGTCAATACTAACGCTTGAAGGCTGGAATCCTCCCCTTATACTTCTAAAATGTCGCTGATCTTTCCCATACATTTGCTTTCTCTGGATATTGCGAGGAGGATGAACCTTTCACTGGAATGGTGGCCTTTGAGTATGCTCCTAATGGAACTCTTTTCGAGCATCTTCATGGTAATTAAAACTTTCTAGCAGTGTTATGTTTCACTTTGATCATTCATGATGGGTACAATGTATTGTCTTCAATACATGCATGAATTAAACCCCCCAGTGCCACATTGCAACTTGAATTCTAAATCCATATTTTTGACCGATGATTATGCTGCTAAGGTCTGTTTCACATGGCTATATATCCCAAAATATGTCAATAAGAAACTTTTACTGACGACTGAGTACTTTTTTTAACAGATTACAGAGATTGATTTCTGGTCAGAACTAACAGCCAAGTCGAAGTCCTCTAGCGATGATTTAGAGAATTCCGTGCTGCCACCGCTTGCTGATCCCGAGACTAATGTCGATAGCCTTGGAATTCTTTTAATAGAAATAATTTCTGGCAAATCACCTTATTCAGAAGAAAAAGAGTCTCTTCTAAACTGGGTAAATATCCTTTATCCTTATTTTCATATGTATTGAACTTAATGTTCTGATCCCTAGGGTGCAGTTGTTGTGTCTGACTAGATCCAGAGGCGGATCTAGAGATTGTTGAAGGGGTTCATCTGAACCCATTGTTGTAGCCGGAAACTGTATGCTTGTGTGTCTATTAATTAAGCTCATTTTGTACCCACTGACAGGAAATTGCTTTCATCTTGAACCATAAGTACATGTTCCAAAAACCTATTTCTCGATGTTGTGTCGTAATTTTTTTATCTTTAGAAAAATCATTTTTTTGAAATGTTCTAAGTATAAAACAATTTGAGAAAAATACTTAGAAAAGAGTCGCCACTTAATTTTTAAAGAAATTAAGAAAACTTGATTTAGAAAGGCTTCAACAGATAAGCCTTTAAAAATTTAGAGAAAATGGGTAAGAAGTTCTTATTTCTACTCTAAGAAAGTATTAGCACTTAAAGTAGCCGCTAACATGCGGTTATCCTACGACTTGACTAAAATAATTTTTTGACTAATCCTTTGGGAAAATAATTTAACATAAAAATAATAATTTATAATATTTGATTAATTTTATGAAAATATTTAAATAAATGACACATTTTTTTTATTATTATTTTTATTTTTTTAGAGAAAGGGACCCAAAAAATGAAACATTTGACTCGAAATACAAGTGATTGAAATATTAATAAAACTAGATTAATTAGAATTTATTTAATTCATTTAAAACTAATTTAATAAATTAAAACATGAAAATCATTTCTTATTAATTGATTAAACCTTTTGAGAAAATGACTAAGTAAGTATTATTATTATTTTTATTAATTGAAAAAGGTTTTGACTAACATTTTTTACGTTTATTTGATGAAAAATACTTTAACTTAAAACAATTTTTAACATGAGTAAAATATGATTAAGCAAAAAACCTTAAAGAACATCTCTTTTAAGTACAAAAAAGTTTAACTTAATTGAAGATATAAAATTTTTGACCAATATACTTGATCACTAAAATAAATGAACACAAAACATGAAATGTATTAACATTAAACCAACACGAAGAAAATAAACTCATCTTTTGGGGAATTTAATTAAGCTAATTAACAATCCTAAAGTTAGAGTTAATGATAGAAAAACAAACAATAAATAAAGACAATTAAATAATTTAAAGATAAAGGAGAAATGACTTTGGGCCCTCTTTTTGGGCCAATTTTGCTGAAAATTTTCTGGGGTTAATACCAAACCCGTTTTTGTATACACCTGGTGTATATTAGTGTATATGAGCGTATATATCAGCTCTTTTCATGTATCTCTTGCTTCTGAACACCTGTATCTCGCCTCAGCCATGTATTCCCACATTTTCGACCTGTATATCAGTGTATACAGCTGTATATGATCGGTATATAGTCCATTTTCGGACTTTCCGGGGCCTGTTCGTCAACTCCAAAGACTTGTTCTTCGATTTCTCAAGGTTGGATGACTCAATAAAAGAATTTTGGGCCTTTATGACCCTCTCAAAATGCGAAGAGAAAAGGGAGTCCATTGGGCTCCATCCGAGGTGGATTTCACAACAAACAAACAATAGAAAAAAAAAGAACTATATTAGCATACAAAAAACAACGTTTAGCTAAATAAAGAAAACACGTTAACTAATTTACAACATTCACTGAAATCATCATGAAAATATGTATTATCCTAATAAGGCAAAGTTGATTATGAAAATGCATATGGCTAGAAACCAAAGGAAAATTTGACTAATTATACAAATGAAGGAGGGGCAATTCGACCAATGGTTGTTCTCCATCTCAGACTCAAGTTTGGGAACATTCATTTACATACCGTATACACATACGCTAAATGAGACCAAAGCATATAAGCACATGTCATTGAATTAGCTCAGGCCAATACTTTAACAAAGATGTATTCATAAACAAACAAATAGCATAACTGAGATTCTCTTCACATGAAGAAAATTGGGCATTTTGCAGACAACCAGGCAAACAAAGTTGATCAAGAAAATCTTATTCATAATCATACGTCATTTATGCTACATTAATTATGCACCAAAATGCATCCAATTTAATGGGAAAAAATAACAAAAAAAACTCATCTCAAACAATATTTAAACTTACTGTCATCCACTAGTAGCAGAATGCCAAAAGATTGGCTTTTCGGGGGCAGCGAACTGGGATCAATACGAGCTTAAGAACAACTTCAACACCGACTTCAAACCTCGAGCAATAAAATCAAAATATCCAAACCAATCTTAGCCGAAGACCCTTTTAGAACCTAGAACTAAAAATGCATTCAAAATTTCTCAAGCGTAAAAGTCAATTGTTCAAGAAAAATTTTTCTCCCCCTTTTAATTGAATAAAAACCGATCTTAAATAGATGAAGAAAGGGGCTGATTTGAGGGGCAAAACGGATTGAAAAATTTAATTTGAAATTTGAATTCTTTGTTTTGTTCTTTCAAGTCAACAGTGGAAGGGATGGAAATTTCTGAAATTGTGGAAAAAAGGGACGCGGTTGGTGTGACGGATCTGCTTATTTGCACTTATTTCTCGCCGGATTTGCTGGGATTTTCTGGTAATTCTGTGCTCGCGTGAAGAAGGAGACGCACAGGGGCAGTGGGGTCGTTTTGGTACTGCTGTATGTATTGTTTGTTGGGTCTTTGTAATGTATGTAGAATATTGTTGGAATGGGTTTGTTTAGGTGGGCTGCTGAGTTTATTGTTGGGCTCCTGGGAATGTTGTGGGTGAGGGGCATTATTGTATTGGGCTGCTACAAAGTGGCCCAAATTTTGGTCTTAAAAATGGGTTTGAATAAAGGGTAAATCACATAAATATGCTATATTATAAAAATATTTACCATCTATGACAACATAATTTTTCTAACTAAATATAACTTTTTTTTGGAATTAAGAAAATTGTACAGTCTTCGCCTCTTTCTCAGCCCTTTTTCCTCTTCTTCTCTTTACTCTTCTGCTTCTTCGTCTCTTTCTCTGACACTATTTTTCTTCCTCCTCTTTTTTTTTCTTCTTCTTCTTTGAAATTTTCATTTAAATAACTATCCTCAAATCAGTTTTTCCCCATATTTCACTATTTTTATCCAAAAACAAGATGAAAAGAGGAACAAAAAGACCGAAAATTTGTACAAAATCATGTTTTAAGCAGAAATTTCAAATCTCTAAAATTACAGAAGTAAGAGTTCACCATTGATGGTCATTATAAAGCTTCAAATTTTGAATTCATTATTTGAATTTTACGAATTTGTGATTAGTTTGGATAGGTAGTTCGTACAAATAATTGAAAATGTCGTTTGGAGTTTATATCTCAATTCTAAGAGGGTTTAGTTTAGTTTATAATTGATTTTAGGAAAAATATTAGATTGAAGCTCGAAAAGGATGAAGTTTACAGAACTATATCGCGTTTGTATTAAAGTTGTTGCATTAGATATGTTTCATAATTGTATTAAATACATCCTACATTTATAATACGTATTGCAAAACTTCACTCCCTTTTAATGATATCAGCTAAAATAATTTAGGTAACACACTTTTATAATACATTTATAATACATGCACAATACATTTTTAATACATATTGCAAAAATTAATCACTTTCTTAGTGATACAAACTAAAAGTAATTTATAAGACACATATAATACATGTTTTATTCATGAATAATACATTTATAAGACACGCACAATACATTTTTAATACATATTGCAACCATCACTCATTTTCTTAGTGATAAAAGCAAAAATAATTTATAAGATACATATAATATAAGTTTTATTCATGAATAATACATTTAGAATACATATTGCACACTTCACTCCTTTCTTATGGATACCAACAAGAATAATTTAGGTAACACACTTTTATAATACATTTATAATACATATTGCACACTTCACTCCTTTCTTATGGATACCAACAAGAATAATTTAGGTAACACACTAATAATACATTTATAACACACGCACAATACATTTTAATACATATTGCAAAAATTAATCACTTTCTTAGTGATACAAACTAAAGTAATTTATAAGACACATATATACATGTTTTATTCATGAATAATATAGAGTTTAATTCAGTTTATAGATAGTTGTCTTGTCTTTCGTTAGTTACGTTTTTTCATTCATTCTTTATTCTCTCTTCTAATTCAACTTTAATATTGTGTAATACAATTTTAATTCATTTTGCAATTTATTATGTCTCTTCATTTGTTACGATTAGATTATTTATTATTTAATTAATTAATTATGATACAAATTTTATTCATTCTACGAATCACTACTCTACGAAAGAAAGTAGAGAGAGAGAAAGAAAGGGAAAAAAAGCAACATAAAGAGAGAGAGAAAAAGCAACAAAAAGAAAGCAAGAAAGAAAAAAGCAACAAAAAGAAAGCAAGAAAGAAAAAAGCAACAAAAAGAAAGCAAGAAAGAAAAAAGCAACAAAAAGAAAGCAAGAAAGAAAAAAGCAACAAAAAGAAAGCAAGAAAGAAAAAAGCAACAAAAAGAAAGCAAGAAAGAAAAAAGCAACAAAAAGAAAGCAAGAAAGAAAAAAGCAACAAAAAGAAAGCAAGAAAGAAAAAAGCAACAAAAAGAAAGCAAGAAAGAAACAGTAACAAAAAGAAAACAAGGGAGAAAGAACAACATAAAGAAAAAAAAAGAGAAAGAGCGAGAATGAGAGAAAAAAATTATATCAAAAAATTTTTTTAAAAAAAATTAAAAAAAGAGATAAAAATTAAAAAGCCGAGAGAGAAAAAAGAGAAAGATGCGAGAGAGAAATCTAATAAAATATATAGTATTGTTATATATTGCTATAAATGGTAATAATTAAAGAGTAT